TGTGCACTGCCTTTTTATGCAAAACTCTGTGTGTATGCCTGTATGTGTGTGAGCCCACCTTCCCCCTGACCAAGATGGGGTTGCTTGTTCACCAATGTACACACCAACTCATGTTACAAAATGGCGCCCACATGGATAACTGCATCCACAGAAAGCCGAGAAAGCTTGAAAAAGATTAGAGTAAAGCATTTTGGTTTTCAGCCATAGCAGGAAAAAAGCTGCGCTGTTTTAAAATGTCGGCTTTCTGGGCCGTCCTGCCAGGGAAAACTCTGACTCTTTCAAACAGGCAGTCCGGACTATAAAAACACTGTTGCAGCTTGCCTCCTGGCAAGGACCTTAAAACGCCTTAAGAGCTTTTGACTGTTGTTTTCTCCATTATTCCTTAACAAATTAAAGACCCATGTGGTCAAAAAAAGAGAGATATACAGTAAAAAGAGATTCAAAGAGTAAGAAAACCTCTAAATGGTTTACATTATGTTAAAAATATATACAGGCTAAAGGTTAAAGTTCTCAGAATAAAAAAAAAAAAAGAACGAGTAGCCTGGGAGGCAGAGACAGACAGATCTCTGGGAGTTCAAAGATAGCCTGGTCTACAGAGGGAATTCCAGGACAAAGATATGCAGAGAACCTGTCTCAAAAAGCCAAAAGTTAAAAGTAAAAAATAAAAGAAATAGAGGTTAAAATAAAGTCACGTAAAGATGGAAAATAAACAGAAAATCTTGATACTGTATGCTATTATGCTCTCTTTGAATTGTTTAAATGCTGAGGAAGGAGCAACAGCTGCTAAAAGATATTTGCTTATAAATGCTGCAGAATCAATCCAAGAAAGGTATTTTGAAAATACCTTGGCTTCAAAATTAAAGTCAAAAGGTATGTTACTTTGGAGAAGAGATTTTGCTTTTGTTTCCACAGAAAATGAGAGGCTCTGGATTTATTCAGAGTTAAGAAAAATCATCTTTGACCAAGGGAGACCACCTGAGCAATCTCCGGTAGGAACAGATGGCCCAGATGTCTGAGTTCTTCATCCAGAACAGGTTCAAGACTGCTGCCTGAGATGATCAAGACTCACAAGATACTTCAGTCAGGACTTGATCATAACTCTAAATTTTTCTTTAGGTCCCTATAAGATTATCAGCACCCCCAACCAGCTGGAAGTAGCCTGGAATACTATGCCCACATTCCTAAAAAAAATGGACTATGGATATTTTCCTTTGTTTTTTTTTAAAAAAGAGGCGGAAGTGGTGTCGGAGAATTGTCTGTATTCTGTCAATCATGTTTTAAATAAACGCTGATTGGCCAGGCAGGAGGTGTAGGCAGGGAAACCAGACAGGAAGTGGAAATGATACAAGGAGAGCAGGAGAATTCTGGGGAGGAGGAAGTTGATTCCCCCCACTCTCCTGCCCAGATCACTGAAGCAGCAGGATGTGAGCTGCCCCACTGAAAAAGGTACTGAGCCACATGGCTAAAATAGATCAGAAAAAATGGGTTAATCAAGATGTGAGAGTTAGCTAATAAGAAGCCTGACCTAATGGGCCAATCAGCTTTATAACTTACAGAGTCCTTTATGTGATTTTTCTCTGGGACTAAACAGCTGGGGGGCCAGACAGGACAGAAAAACACAAACAAGCCAGCCCCCCTCATGTTACAGCCTGTGAGCTCCCTGTGAGTGGTGGGAGTACAGACGTGTGCTGCTGCCTCTGGCTTTACATGGGTCCTAGCGATCCAAATGCAGGTTCACACACTGAGCCATTCCCCAACCCCTCCACTGTCCATGACTTCAGATGTTGAACACAGGAGGGAAAGAGCCACATGCCTACAGGAAGGTTTGTTTCTTCAGTTGCCAATATCTTCCCTGACTCAGTGCTCCCAAGTCCAAGTCAGATCCTCTGTCTCCACTAGGAGTCCCCAGTAGGACACACTGAGAGGAATCTGTCACAGTCACCACACACACCCTGCTTGGCAGCTGTTGAAGGAAGCACCTGCTGGAAGTCCCTTAAGGCATGTAGACAAAGGCATCTAAATTGTGTTTGCAGTGGGTCATGCTGGAGTATCAAAATTCTCTCAAAAGTATTTCTCATATTTCCTTATGCAAAATAAAGAGCGCTGTCAGAACAGCCAAACTAATTTGTGAAGGTGAATCTTAGAAGATGCAAAAGTAAGCTAACGGGAGCTTATCGGTATCTAAAGTAGGTACCACATGGCAAATAGCACTTAAATCATTTCTTAAGTGATGTACAAGATGTATGTTAATTTGGAAACTAATTCATGATGATGTAATAACTATCTTCTGTATCCCAAAGGCACTTGAAGAAAGGCACGCACTGCGAACAGTGTCTGCATCTGCCTGATCATATTTAAAGGCACAGAAGAAATGTGTGTAATTAAATCTGCCCAGTAAATACCAACTCGTAGCACTAGGCAGGTGCAAGTCTAGATAAAATTTCTTGCAGCTAATTTAAACTTTCTACACACACCACGAGATAATCTCAATGTAAATAATACATTTCTTCTTGACCCCTTAATGTAAGCCCTGCATGAGAGTCCTGACTTACACTCTGTTTCACCTATGTTCTATCTACTTGGAACACTTGTGGATAGAGAATTATGACTCTACCTTTGTAGAGTGACGTACTTTACTGACACAGTCCACCAGGCAAACCAGGAACCAGCTCTCCTGTGTACAGTCCCAGCCACTTAGTAATTTACAGGTTACTTTATGTTTGTTGGAAATTTGGTAGTATATTGTGGGACTGGTGTCTCAGGTGTGCATTGTTCCACTCTATGATCCATTTTCTCTGCTCAGAGAAAATTACTGTGCATGTTTTAATATTTTGTATATTTAGGAAACAATGGAATGAATTTTTGGGACAGACATTTAAATATTAAGTTGGTTTTTAACTAAATTCAGACTCCAATGAATTAAAAGAAAGAGCTTTACTATAGGGCAGAATGTGATCCCTTCCAGATTGTTTGAAACATTAGCTTAGATGTGATTCTGTGGTGTCTGCATTGCAGTCTGTGCTGTAAGAATAGAGCGGAAGGAAGATCAAAACTTTTGTCACATCTTTATAACAGTTTCTACAGCTCACACACCTGACCACTGCTGCAGGAAAGAAATGCTTTGGTACTTGCCCTAACGTAGTTTTGACACAACTAATCTAAGATGTCACCTGACTCGGTATTACTTTGAAAATAAAAATCTTGTATGAAGATGTTAAATAAAAATCAAGATTGAAAAGTATTCATTTTACACTTAGAAACATTTCAGACTGATAACTATTCAACCCAATTGCCTTCTAGGATTTCAGGAACTACTTAAAGCAAGAATTTTTTTTTATATCTGTCTGCTAAGTATCAAGGATACTTTTTTATATAATCCTTCAAATATGTGACCAAAAATATACTAATATAGATTGTTCTAACATTGAAAACCAGGACAGAAGTCAGAACATTTTATAAAGTACCCTGCATTAGTTAGGAAGCAAAGGGTTAAGTAGCAGGTTGGTTTCACATGTAATGAGTTATATGGGTATGTGTTTAACACAGTTACTGTGTGTTTGACCTCTTGATAGACTGAGCATTTGCCTTTCAGAACAGCTGGGTCTGCTGAGAACCAGTTCCCAGTTCTCTTCATTGTAGATCAGATGACTCTCGCTTTATCACCCTTAGAGGCCACATGAAGGACAAAGCAGAAAGATTCACACACAAAACTAATGTTTATGTGGGGGGGGGGGGTATACCTGGCCCAAATATTCCAGTCAGCAAAAAAGAAACCAACTGAGAACTGGAACCACTGTGTTCCTCTGGCCATGTTTTGGCTGTAATCTGTCTGTGTCTTGCTCCTTCCTATAGAACAGTGAACTGTTTGACTGCTTTGACCTCTGTGTGGCTGGCTCCCCTACTGGTTTGGACAGATGTTTGCCCCTCCCTGAGGCCTCAACGGATAAAGATTCTGGTGAACTTCATATGATACACAAACCCACACCCTATTCTCTTCTGGCTTTAAGAAGCAAACCCAAGTGCATAAGCAGTAGAGAAAACTGCATTTCTCAAAAATGCCTCTTTGCTCTAAGATGTATCTGAAAAGAACATGAAAGTCTTGATTTTTGACAGATAAGGAAAGGAGGATTCTGATATTAACTTTGTATAAGTAAGTATCTATTGAAGCCCCCCAGGCCCTGAGGTTAGCTGAAGGATGCTTTGGACAGCTCACTGGGGAAGGACCCAGTGCTTTGGAAGCTAGCTGCTGCAAAACAAAGCACACTTTGTCTGACTTTGTTTTGTCTTTTAAAACAGGATTTCATGTAGCCCAGCTAGCCTCAAACTCATGATCCTTCTAAATGTAGCTCCCAAGTGCTAAGATACAAGTGTGTACCACCAGAACCAGCTCTAAGTGCATTATTAAACTGGTTTGCAATGGATAGGAGAGCTATCATCCTAAGTCTCCTTTAAAGCTGAAGGTTATTCAGTATGGTTAGACTAAATCATCAGGGGAAAAAAGTTTTTATTGACAGAATCTATGTACACAAGAAATTTGTACATAAATATAGCATCATGTTATACTGTTAATTACTTTTGCTTTTGAGTAATAAGGTTGCTCTACTGGATTTCTGAGAAGTTAAAACTCTGTCATTAATAGAAATCAACATTTCAGTGTTAAATTCAGATACATTATTAAGGGGGAAAAGGTGTTAAAGTTAAACCAGCCAAGATGCTGTCAATCAAACCCAGAGGTTACAAACAGTGGCCATGGACAGTGATGCCCCTCCTGACTGGACAGTGACCAAGGCTGCTTCTCTCTGCTGATCTTGCCCCTTGAATCCTCATGCACACTGGCTTTGCCCAGACCCACTTCCTTTATCAGACTGAGAAATACATGTTTTCCTGCACTGGCCTATAGCTAGCCATGTCCACAACCAATTCTTTATACTACCTTAGAATATGCCATTAAATGATTTAATTGATGACTATATTATGAAAGAAATGTACTCAAAATAGGCTAGTGGTAAAGTGACTTTAATTTTTATCAAAACTAAAGAAACAGCTTTCCATGAGAAAGTAAAACATAATACATGATTTTTACCAGAAAAAGCACAGGAAAAGAGATAGCCATATCTACAAGACAAGACAACAAGAGGCCTCACCTGAATAAACACTTGTGTCCACAGAGATCTTAAATGAGGTAGCAGAAAGGGAGCTGGAATCCGTGATAGGGTAGTTTAATTTAGAATGATTATAAATATATAGAACTAATGACCATGAGTAATCAAAAAGACTTTAAACTTCTTATTTTTATATTCAATAAAGTTCTTTTTAAAAATGGAATCAAGTGATTCTACATGCTTGGAAACAAGAATACCATTTAATCTATTAGCATCCAATTTTGCATATGTAGTAATGCATATTCAAATTTCAAACAGCACAACATACCTTCTCAGTAATTAAAAAAAAGTTAATTCCCTGAGATACAACTTTAAATGAGATGCTTATTACTTGTATGCTAAAGCTCAAATAAGACAGAAGCTTAGTTCCACCAATAAACTCACGATACTTACACTTTTTTAAAAAAATTATAATTTATAGAATAATTCAATTATTAAATATTGGCATTAAGGACATTTTTTTCTCTCCCTTTTTTGTTAAGACGGGTCTCATGGAGCCCAGGCTAACCTCAAACTTTCTATGTCACCAAGAATGATTTTGATCCCAGGTCCACCAGCCTCCACCTTCCAGTACCGGAATTACAGATGTGAGTACTGCAACCAGCTGGGACATTTTTTTCTTATTCTGTCATTTAACTATCTGTGAATATTACCAAAACTACAATATGCTTTACCAGAAAATACTTAGAAAAGAAGTGCTTTGGTCCCATAAACAGTTTGTGTAGCTAACAATAGGCACTGGCCATTTCTTTCCTACGGTACCATGACTCTAAAGATGCACGTTCACTTACACATAACAGAAGATTGCATTTGTTTTGGAAAACATCTAGTTGATTTTCTTCCGAGTTCTTCCATTTTTGGAATCCCACATGATTACAATGTTGAAGTATACCAAGAAGAACATGAAGTTTACGCAGGACACAAAACACACCAGCACAGAGAACAAGTCTGGTAATTTCTGGGGAGGGTGCAGCGTGACACTCAAAACCGTCAGAAGGGCCATGGTGGTGACTGAAGAGAAGAACTGGAAGGGAAAGAAGGACTTACTGAGTGGTAGAGGCCTGCCTCAACCGAGAAAATGCTGCCATCAGATTGGCCTGTAGGCATCCTCTAGGTTAGTGACTTATGTGCCAGGGTCCAGCACACTGTGGATGGTGTCACCCTGGGCAGGTGATCCCCGGATGTGTAAGAGCAAGCCAGTAAGCAACCACTTCTCCCCAGCCTGTACTTCAGTTCCTTCCCCAAGACCCTGCCTCACATTCTCAGTGTCCTGTACCCTTTCCTCCCCAAGTTGCTTTTGATCATGTTTTGTTTTTTAAGAGACAATTCTCTCTGTGTAGCCCTTGCTGTCCTGACACTTGTTCTGTAGACCAGGCTGGCCTTGAACTCAGAGATACACCTGCCTCTGCCTGTGCCACCACTTAATAATGTGCCACCACTACCTGGCAAAATATGTAACCCAGGCTGGCCTCAAACTCATGATCTTCCTTCAGCAAATCCTACTGAAATAGAAAGCAGGCTTAGACAGCTGGTAACATTGGTTTGTAGCTACTATATTAGCAGAAATGAAGGTGAGAGCTGAAGGGACGTCCAATCTGTCCTACAAGCGGATCTCATCTCTGGTTTTGTGTTGGAATTACCTGTTAAAAACACCATTTAAATAAAATACCTGTTGTTAAAGCTCTCCAGAGGGTTCCCATAAAAACTTTTAACCTTTGTCTTTGTTTTACAGTGTTGGGGGGGGGCACTCATGCCATGGTGTGTGTGTGTGTGTGTGTGAGAGAGAGAGAGACAGAGACAGAGACAGAGAGAGACAGAGAGAGATTGCCAGTTTTCTCTTTTTATCATATCGGTCCTGGGAGTTAAACTCAGATTGTCAGGTTTGAGGCAAGTATCTGTACCATCTCAGTGGCTCCAGAACCTGTCTTTTTAATGCAATATGTAATAGATCAGGTTTGTGTACACTGTGTGCACCTGTGTGGTGGGCACACAGTGTATGCATGCATGGGAAGGTGCCCAAGGTTGACATTAGGTGTCTTCTGTCACTCTCCACCTCATACCTCTCGCAGAACTTCAAGCTCACCAGTTGGGTTAGTCTGGCCGACCAGGGCTCCCTATCTCTACACCCCACTATGTTCACCCCGAAATTCTGAGGATCTGAGCCCCAGCCTCAGCTTTACAACAAGCACTTTACCTACTGAACCTTCTCCCCAGCCCAAGATACAAGTTTTAATAACCAAAAACACCCATTCTATAGGATTTCTACACTCTAGGGAAAAGCTGGTGGCAGCAATGCATACAGTATATCCATGTCCTCTACAGTTTGTCCATCGTGGCCTCACACTAGATTCACTTGATGCCAGCCTGATTGGATTTAATTTAGACTAATAAGTTCAGTACTAGTAAAAGGGGCATTCTAGAGTTACAGACTTTACTGTCCCAAATGCCACATAACAGAACTTCATCTTTCAACAAGTATGGCTTTGTCCTTGAATTATCTATATAGTGAGCTGCTTAATTCCTTACTCCCAAACATCTGAATAGCTAATTAATTACACATTTATAAGCATAATTTTAGAAGTTAATTAGTCCTCTTTAAAAACTGATTTTAGCAGAGGCATATTTATTTACACTATTAAAAAACATTCCTGTGGCAAAAAAGAAAGAAAATTTTAGGGGGCTGGAGAGAGGGCCCAGAGGTTAAGAATGCTGACTGCTCTTCAAGAGGTCCTGAGTTCAATTTCCAGCAACTATATGGTGGCTCACAGCCATCTACAATGACATCTGGTGCCCTCTTCTGGCCTGCAGGCATACATGGAGGCAAAACATTGTGTACGTAATAAATAAAATCTTTAAAATTTAAATTTAAGAAATAATTTTAAATATTTAAAAATATTCAAAAGAGTTGAAATACCATGATCTTGAACTAGTTAAACAAGAATATTTGGGGCTAAAGAGATGGTTCAATGACTGAGAAAACATACTGCTCTGAGTTTGATTACCAGCACCAAGGTCAGGCAGTTCACAACATCCTGTACCTCGGCTCCAGGAGAGTCAGTGCCCTCCTCTGACCCTACGAGCACTGCATCCACATGCACACACACAGAGACACACTCACAGATACGGCTTTTAATCCTGTGGGAGAAAAAGCATGCTGAAATTTCTTCCACTTTAGACAAAAATTTGATTTTTGCAGCGCTTGCTCTATTTTTATACTAATAATTACAGTGAAGCTTCAGAAAGTGCCTGTAGCACACTGTTCAATTCTGCCATCACTGGTGAATCTGTCACCTGGGCTTCTGTTTTACTGTGGCACGTAACAGCTGCAGCTGTCTGTCCACGGCTTCCACTACGCTCGCTCTATACAGGGCTCTGCATATATTCTTCCTCCCTTATCCATCCTCTCAGTTAACAGCACAAAAGTGACACATTACGCCATCACCATGAAATCGTTTCTTTGTTTCAAGGAAACACAGCTACCATGACACCAAACTTCCCTGACACCATGCTTGGATTCCTCCCACCTGGGACAACACATACTCAATTATCTGTACAGTTCAGTCCCTTAGAAGACCCAGCTGCTTCAACACTGCCATTGTCCTTGCTCCCTTGCTTTACTTTCCTCCAAACTGCTAACACTCTGTGATGTGTATTTTCTACCTGCTTTGCTTCTTGCTCCCAACTGGAATAACTTCTGTGATAGCAGGTAGTTTTAATTTTTTTTCACTGTTGTATTTTCAAACTCCAAAAAGTGTTTGCATATAGCAAGCACTCACTGAGCTGAATAAATCAAGGCGCCTGTGATACTCCTTACCTGAAGACCACCCTGTGGCTGTCACAAGAAGCTACAGTTCTATATACATCCCAGAATTCAGGCATGTGCTAACAAATAAATTTTACATCATGTTTTCCACTTAAACCACTGAATGAGAAAATTAATCCATCTTTGTCTTTCTTATTCACCTCTTAATTTTACTTCACCAACCTTCTCCACGTCGTGGTCATTACCAACAGTGAGAAATTCTCCAGACATTCACTAAGCTGTCTAATGTTGTAAGGTGCCCTGCATACTTACACTGTTCTTACACTCTCGTACACAGAGGCAGGAGAAAGGTACCTCCTAGCTATATACCCTGTGACCTACAGTAGTGATCTGCCTGTGAGATATAATGGCGCAACAGTGGCACAAGTGTTATGGGAGTAACCAACAGCTCTTTGGATTTAATGCCAACTCCATGAGATGGAACCCATATCTCACACAGCTACAGTGACCAAGATCCTGAGACTAGATAGGTCATGAGCCTAGAGGTAAACCTAATATTATGATTCTGCTAAAGGGGCACAGCAATACAATGACTCCTAATGATATTCTCCTATACCCATAGATCATTGTCTCACTCAGCCCTCGTCAGAGAAGCTTCTTCTTTCAGTAGATGGGAACTAATACAAAAACTCACAAATGGATATTATGCAGAGAATAGTAGACTATGGAGAACTCAGTCCTAGATGTCCCCACTCCCCAGCCCCTCAAGGCTCAAGAATCTAAGAGATAAAGGAAGAAGAAAGATGAGTCAAATATGATCGGTTACTCCAAGAAAATAGTATCTTCTAGACAAACAGGACTGATGCACATATGAAATCACAGAAACTGTGGCAGCACAGAGGCCCACACAAGTTCAAACCAGACAGGTCCCAGCAATGCGATGAGGAAGTGTTGGACAAGGGTTCCCTCCCCTAACCAAAAACTATCAGCAAGTAATTCCACTAACAAAGAAAAAAATCAGTTTTCTCTAATGGAGTCTTACCGAGTATATTAACCACACCTCAGGGCAGACCTAATTCTCAGTAGTGGCTGGCCCACAAAAACTCCATAGGTTTCTTTTTTTTTGTAGACTTTTAGTCTTATTCTGCTTTGGGTGGATATATACATAGGTTTTATTGATCTTTTTGTTTGTTTCATTTCTTTTTGTGTATGAGGGTTGCTTTCTGTTTGTTTTAAAGAATGAGAAGGGGTTGAGGGTCTGGGGACAAAGTGGTGAGGGCAACTGCTGCAGGAGTTTCTTTGTTCCACTGAGCCTGCAGCCAGCAAGCCCACCCTTTTGTCTGCGAGGTCCCTGGCCAGCAAGTGACTCTGATCCTGTCCTAGAAGAGACATCCAGAGAGGTAAGTGTGTACCTGACGGGCTGGCTGCATGCCCCAGAAAGGGAGCACAGACACCCTCCAATCCCCTAAACTTTCTGACCATTCAGCGGGGGCTTCTCTCCCGGCTCCTGCCTTTTTCTTCTTATCCCATCCCAGCTTGCTCCCAGGCACCCCTTCCCATCTGCCGGGTCATAGGATCCCACAACTCAGCCTGCTGTGGGGCTGAGGGTCTGGGGACAAAGTGGTGAGTACAACTGCTGCAGGAGTTTTTGTCCCACGGAGCCTGCACCTAGCAAGACCACCCTTTTGTCTGCGAGGTCCCTGGCCAGCAAGTGGTCCTGATCCTGTACCAGTAGAGCCATCTGGAGGGCCTACTTTAGGGTGAAGAGGATCTGAGAGAAAACAACACCAGTGCTGAGGGGACCTGAGAGAGGGCAGACCAAGAAAAATCCCCAAGTACACAGGTAGCCACAGCAAAGATCAGACCAAACTGCCAAGATCCTCCTAACAGCATTTGAAGGAAGAGAGGGGCAGACGCCAATGCAAGAATTCCTCCAACAATCTGAAAAAAAAAACATGATAATGACAGAGTCCAGCAAACATACAACAGGAAGACTTGAACACCATAATCCAGAAGAATTAGAAGAAATAGACTTTAGACATAACATTACAAAAATGTTAGAGACCATTAAACAGGATGTAAAAAACTCCTTTAAAGAAATGGATGAGAAGACTAACAAAAAGTTAGAAGAAAGGAATAAATCCCTCAAAGATACCCAAGAAAACCAAGAAAAAGCAATCCAACAGGTAAGGGAAAAAGTTCAAGACCTGAAAACTGAATTGGAGAAAATGAAGAAAACATAAACCGAGAGATGGCAGGAT